GCCAATAGGAGCTTGGTTGGAATGGGGCCTCAGGCAGAGGCCTGCGTGGCTCAGGTGTGTTTTGATGGTTGGATCTTGGTCTAGAAATGTGCTACCTTTTGGGGTAAAGGGGGAAAAATAGGCAACTGTTCATATTAACCCCTGAAAGGGGACTTCTGGGAGTTATCTGTTTCCAGGGCGCTGCTTCCCACTCCCAAGTCTTGGAGTCACTGAGATGCTCAGATGCATAAACACGGAATCTCTCCCCCCAATTCCCTCCTCCCCCCTTAGCATGGAGAAACCAGGCTTAGGTGCTAGGAAGGACAGGAGGCCCCCGGAGGCTGGCGGAGTCTGCTGCTCCTGACACCAGGTAAAAGGCAGGAGGGCGTGGCCAGAGCGCAGAGCCGGATGTGGTGGAGGCCTCTGGGAGGCTCCCTCCCTCTGCCTTTGCCCTCCTCACTCTTTCTGCCTCCCCCAGGCTAGAGGCAGCTCCCACCCCCCACCCGCCTCAGCAGACCCCACGTGACCTATTTTCTGGCGCACAGGCCCCAGTGGCCAGGCAGGCCTGGACCAGCAGGCACTGCGCCCCAGGTCAGGGCCCTGGGACTTTAACAGTGTACAGGCGCTTAGACCGCACAACCCGCCCGAGCGGGCACACGCATACAGGCCTGCAGGAGGAGGTCCGGGTGGGAGCCGTCCTAGACCTGGAAGGAGGCGGGGCGAGTTCTCTGGGAGGGAAAGTAAGACCAGGCGCCCTGGGTGGGAGGCACATGGAGGGAAACAGATTTGCCGCTGGAAGGCGGGGCGGGATCCTCCCTGGAACCGCGTGGCAGAGGTGGTGTTGGTGACCCTGGGCAAGGCCGCATTTCACTCCAGTTCTGAACCTGAGCCGGTGGAGAGGAAGAGCTGTGAACCTTCCTCTGGGGCTGAGGGACTAGAAGCCAGGTCCACGGGAATCTAGGCTCACGGGGCTGTGTGTTCCTGCGGGAGGCTGACCTCGGACTCAGCGGAGAAGCCACCGCTGCTGCTCATGGGCTGCTGTGGGTGCACAGGGACAGGCCCGCTGCTCAGGGGTCAGGTTCTGCCCCTGTCAGGCGCCCAGGGGGCAGGGGCAGCTCCATTCCCGCCAAGTCCCCCCATCAAACCACCCAGGGAGCCTTCAACAGCCCCCCCCACCCCCCTCCCCCATCTCTACTCCTGGGCATGTGTAGGGTGGCATTGCATATGCGGAGTTATCCTCTCCCCTCCCTGCCAGCCCTCACTGTCAGCTCCTGGGCCATCCCTGGCACGCGGCTAGGCCAGGACGGAAGTTTATGGGATGAATTAAAGGAGAATCACGAACAGGACACCAAGTGCTTTTCTGATCTTGCCTGTGTCTCCCTCCCCTGGCCCTCTCCCGCCTGGCTCAGTCTCCCAGAATAATCAGGCAGCTCTCCCTCCCTCTGCC